GACTTTTCATGATACGCATACAGTGCAACGTCACGCGCGCTTATTCACAAACACTACACAAGCGCAATGTGTAATGTGTTGAACACGAGCTACATGGTAGGCGGAGTGGGGGTGTTAGGTTTTATTTTCGTTACGGAATTTCTTGATTCGGTCGCCGCGCTCAAAGCCCGTGATAAAAGCTATTTAATAGTTGCAGCCATATATGCGTCACACAAAAACGTATCTCAGTTTTAGATGTGTCCAGTCTTGAAAGTGTGATTCTCTTAGCCGAAAAGTAAGCTTGTTGCTGCTGGGTCTTTAGTGATTTGTAACTTACCAGCAGGTGGGCCGGAAGCTCTCGTAAAGCTACAAAAAGTAAGGTCAATCGCGGGACGTTTCACGAACCGTGCAAAAGAATAAAAATGCAGTAACATTTTATTTTTCGAGTCGCAAAAAAAAAAACACAACTCGCTTCCTTCATCCTTCGGTAATAAAGGACCGCTTAAAGTCGTTTATCCTTTAATCTTGTCGCACAAATGTCATCGTTAATGTCGAAATGACGTCGACTCGAGAACGCGCCTCAAATATATTTTACGACTGGTAGGTGTCATCTTTTGTACGTGAAAAATTTAAGAGTTTTAAATTCACTTTTACGGTGTAAACAATTTGGAGGTACATAATCTAATATGGCACTAGGACATAATTAAATTATTAATTCAGTAAATTATGTTATTCGCCTCACTTTGTGTTAGAAAAACATGATAAAAGAATTTATTTTATTAATTAACGAAAAATTATAGGAGACGGAATGAAACCAATAACAAATTACATCGAAGGAGTCATGATCCTCAACCACGAGAGAACCAATCAGAAGAAGGGTAATAATGTAGTTGAAGCTGAAAGCTGAATAGTGGAAATTCGATTAGAGATGAGATATCGAACATTTTTCATTGGTATGTAGTCGATGTAAACTAGCTAAACTGCCACTGATCGACAATCGTAGATTTCTTAATTACACTCATCCCTGAGATGAAGACAATCGGGCCAACTTAGTGCGAAGTAAAGCGCGTAGACCATGACCTACCGCGAAGGTTTGTGGATGGAAGCGATCTGCCTGGGGTCTATTAAAACCTTTAACAACAACAACAACATAAATAATCATTCCGTGTCCTCAATGATCTAAATTTGGTCAATACGAAAATTGATCATTCGTAAACACATTTGAGTCAAACTAAAAACACATCGTCAGTTTCAATTATCATATCTACTATTGTTCCTAAATAATAAACTGTCTCAAACTGATTCTAAAGATTAAAAAAATAAAAGGATATATATCAGGATACGATATCGACCTTCGTGAGATTCAAGTCATTGACTGGCGAGTTCGCGTTGGGCAGAGAATAGTAGACGGTCTCGTTTTGATCAATGACCCAAAGCAGTTTCTTTTAAGAACTCGTCGTATCCCATTACTTTAAAAAATACCTTGAACAAAGGCAGTAATGGGATCAGCAGCGAATTTGAATGAACATCACAATAGTATAACATCAATGATCAAATAATACCCGGGAAAGTCGGTCAAAATTTTATTTATTGCATAGATAGGTTAAAGGAGTTCATAGCGTCTGTGTTGGTGAAACTGGAAAGGACTCCGACACATCAGAAATTCCCTCCTCCTAAAAAAAGAGCTCATGGACCACCTGGCTTATTAATTGTTGATTACAGAGCCTATGGATATGGCTGTCACCTATCTTAAAACATGAGGTTAAAGTTTAACCTTGTATGAGGGCTATCCAATGCTTCAACTCAGAACGAAGAATTGCTTCGCAGCAGAAAAAAGTAGGATTGTGGTACCTACCCGTTTGGGCTCACAATTACAAGCTACTCCATACTGGGAATCTTTAAAAACCGTCGTTAGGTTTATCGGTCTAAACAGGCCTTACCTAATAGAGCATCTATTTTAAGCAGAAAAAATCTAACCTAAATAACCTCCCAGACTCAGCGACCGTAGCAACAAAGAAACGATTGGCGAACAACAAAAAGCGCGTACTCACAAATTAATCAAAAACGTACCGATACCAGTGACTGGGTGCCCGAAAACGAATCGTTAGCGCAAAAAATATTACCTGATAATAATAAAGCGGTTCAGGTTTGTTTGTGGCGCAAAAAAAAACGGTTCACCTTGAGATCGAAGCCGAATTGAGCTGCGTTTGACTCGGTTTATGTAAATCTGTTAGGTACCTTTTTTTTGGTGAACGAACTAGCTAATGGCCGGGTGTTAAGCGGTAAATATAGCCACTGTGTCGAATGCCACTATGGGATGATAATGTCGAAGTGATATCGGAGCATGATTTGTTTGTGGAACAAACAATATAGTCAGGTCTTTACGAACTCGGTACTACTGGATATTATTGGTATTTTTTTTCTCCTATTCTAGTAACCTCAAGGGGTTATTCTAGATTCGCCAAGCTTGTAGGTGAGCTCACGAAGCTCAAACCTGACGACGTTGCTAACACGAACCCTAGCAAGAGCCATGCTTCGCAGAATCTACCACCGGATTGGAAACGCGACCCACTGAGAAGATCCGGCGAGAAACTCAGTGCGCTGTGTCCGTGGGTTAATTTACGATAACCGGTGCTTGAGGTACCTAAAAGCACCGTTAGTGGATCGGGATGATCCGAAATGACGTGTTTTGGGCGACGTCAACTGCTTTCCATTCGGTCCGCAGGATCGGGATATTGGTAAAAATGCGCTGGTGAAGTCGAGGCCCATTTCACCAGGTTGCTATTATCTTAGTTATCCTTAGTGTATGCTGGTATCCATGGACACCTGCAAACGTAAATTCCGCAGCCTTAATATAACTACTTACGTATGTTTCAATGTGGAACTTTGGGAAAGAAATCTATGTGATACCGGCGTAATACGTATCGGTAATCTTTATCCATTTCACTAACAACTTTCGCGAAAACAAATTTCATTAATTGCAATAAGATATGGTATATCAAAGATATAATAAAAGAAAGATCAAATAAATATAAAATAAGAAAAGTTACATGGAATGTTACGATGATATGAAAAACAAAATTTTGCTAGAGATGATTCTTGACACTATCTCGAGAGCTCATCTCAGATAAGGAAGTTGGGAGTAAAAACAACGCACACTGTTTTATTATTCAAATCTCTCTCCCGGTTAACAGTGGCCCTAAGGGATAACGCATCAGTTTTTTGTACGAAAATATTTTTTTGGTTGCTTCAAAACATTATAGTGAGGTAGGTACGCATTTTGGAAAACTTATTACTAATAGGACAATTAAAAGTTATCATTTTAGTATTGTAACCGAAGCGTGGCTTGAGAGATCCATCTTGCAGTGCACTGTGGATCAAGGACCGGCAGTGCTGAGTTGTACGAAAATTAATAGTCCAACTTTCAGAAAGTGGGCTGATAAGCACTTTAGCCTTTAAGAGCTAATGACCGCGAGCATTGCGATGTGTTATAAATAGGCATGGCAACAACTAATGCGTACACGAATTTCCACAAAAAGGCATACATGCATCACGAACTTGCAAAAAAAAATTTTCTTCTGCGCATTGCGTTAGACTTATCTTCTTCTTCCTTTCCGTCTCAATCGGAATTTCTCAATATTAGCGATGGTCACATTAACCTTTGCGGACATTGAAGCATTACCTCGATGACACACTAGTATGGGGACATCACACGTCCTCATTACACACCTATCTCCTGACGTTTTAAATTGTATATTCTTATCGGACTTTTAAAACGATACAATTAATTACTGAATTTGTTAAACCGTTTCCGGATGCCGTCGCGATGCAATTTAACATTGATGTAAAGGATGTGAAGAACAGAGGAAGCATCAAATATAGGAAGTGTTTGTAAAGGACGCGTTTTATATGGGATCGCTATCGTTTTCCTCAATACAATAAAGGTCTCGCTGTCAATGACACCTAATTATCACTGAAAATACTGTAAGTGCTGTAAATTGCAGGCTTGGGTAGCGAGAGGCGAAAATCAAACCCTACAATATACTTCATGACTATCCGAGGACCATATTTTATCTTAAAAAAATAGGCACTATCCGCGTTTAGAGTTATGTAACGCATATAGCTGAGAGATGGAACAAAATCGAGCGAACACAAGCTTGTTGGGTATTCTCAGATATATTTTAGAATCCTTCGGGTCTCCAAATGGGTAATTAATTGAGTTGGTGAGATATGGTATGGTTTACTGGCGATAGGACCTCTTGTGAGTCCGCACGGGTAGGTACCACCATCTTGCCTATTCCTGCCGTGAAGCAGTAATGCGTTTCGGTTCGAAAGGTGGGGCAGCTGGTGTAACTATACTTGAGACCTTAGAACTTATATCTCAAGGTGAGTGGCGCATTTACGTTGTAGATGTCTATGGGCCCCAGTAGCCACCTATCACCAGGTGGGCTGTGAGCTCGTCCACCCATGTAAGCAATCAAAAAATAACAAAAATAAAAAACGCACATGCAAATTGTTTTCATAACTATCCAATATCCAGTACTAAATATGCTTTTGGTAGACTTAAAAAAAATCGCAGACCTCCAAGTTCACTTGTACATGTTGCCGAAAAGAGAATGGTTTATAAATAAACAAAAGTTTTATTTAATCGTATTTCTAGTGTATGTCGGAGATTATTGAGCTAAGCCGAACACACTCACGTTCCCTTATCATCAACCATTAAATGGCCCAATAAAATTTTCCACTGTTGAATATCATTATATTTTGTCCGTAATAATAATAATTTCTATGATAACAATATCATTAATAGTAAGGACACAGAGTTAATGTTGCAGCGTCGTGCATACTAATTGAATACACAACTCGGAACGGACACGCCTGAAATATTAATGCTCTCCACGGTTATACAGATAACATTTTACGATTTGATTGTCAGTATTTTTTTGCCGAGACAGACGCCCTTCAGTTTACGATGTTTCTTATTCACCGTTCGCTAATCGATCGTTTTCTTTTGTCTGCAGACGAAGAAGAATAACCCCAACCACATCAAGAGACCGATGAACGCGTTCATGGTCTGGTCGCAGATAGAACGCAGAAAAATATGCGAACAAACACCGGACATGCACAACGCCGAGATATCAAAAAATCTCGGCCGCGTTTGGAAGACTCTGAACGACGAAGAACGCCAGCCCTTCATCGATGAAGCCGAACGCTTGAGGCAGCTTCACATGAGGGAATACCCTGATTACAAGTACAGGCCTCGCAAGAAGACCGCCAAGACTGACAGAAGCGGTACGCGAACCGGTTCAGTGCAGAAACCGAAACGGAAGCAAAGAGCCGATTCCAATAACAACAGAGGACTGTCCAGGCGACGACGACCCGTGCCGACTGTCCCGAGCGTCCCCGTGGAAACGCCGGCCCCTCCCCCGCTGCCCGCCTCTCCTGCCGGTGCACCTGATTCCCCGGAATCCGCCTGTCTGTATGATGATCACAACAGGCGCGATCAGGCGGATCTGACGGATCTCTATTCGATCACAGATCTCCTCCCTCTCCCGGCGGACTGCGAGGTTGACTTAGATGCGCTGACGACGGACATCGACTCGTTCGAGACCGCCTCCTCCTCGTCTGGATCCCACTTTGAGTTCTCGTGCACGCCTGACGTCTCGGACATGCTCAGCGAGATCGGCGTGGCGGGCGACTGGGTGGACCACACGTTCTCCTCGTATCTGACGTCATCTTAGAGCGGCGTCCGGGCCGCCTCGGCCGCTGCCGGCCGGTTCCACTGATCTCATGCGGTCGGCCAACGCGCCGCCATACGGAGGCCGATGACGCGGCGACCGCTCGCCGCCCCGCCTAGAGAGTGCCTATCCAAAATGACGTGTCGACATTTGGATTCAATGTACAAAGTTATTTAATAAGGATCGAGGGTGAAAATTGTTTTGGAAACAAACGACCGCTCCGGTCGCATTCTTCTTGTTTTCAATGTTCAGTTGAATCAGACGACGCCGTTCGGGAGTTCAATGTTCAAGGCTGTGTTCAAGATGCTTTTGTTATTCATTAATTTCAACAAATAGTTGAGATGATCTGTGAGAGGGCACGTCTCGGTACACAATCCGTCTACTATCCGTCGCCTGTAGTTGGTCGGGAGAGGGCTCTCGGCATCAGCATAGCATCGCATCGCATCGCATCGTCGCTTCCGTACTTTTTACGTGTACATTACACTTGGCTTCTAACGCGTTCAGTTACAGCAATGTTCTACGTCACAGACACACTTTCCTTTTTTATATTAACATTTGTACGATTAGGATGAGCGATTAAAATTTAAGTTCTCGTTTGATATATAACCGTCTTAGATGAATGTATCGTTCGTGGAATAGAAAATAATTAAGACTAGATTATAGTCAAGTTCGCCTTGCGTTCTTTTCACTGTACGTATATATTTACACTTTATATTTTGATGCACATGTAGTTTTATGGTAAGACATTATAATTTTTAATATCGGAAGCTGATCGTCATGTCATTGTAAGAATTTCGGGGTGCGGAGATTGAGTTGGCACAGGCGGGACCCCTACCAAAATGCTTCGATCGGACCACTAATTCTTTCTGTTCCATTTGGCTATTGTCTTCAAGATTACTATAGAGAATTACGGTTGATTCGTTTCCCTGTTGAGTTCTCTTGGCTCTTGGTAGGGGTCTGGCCGCCCGTGTTTTTTGTAAATGTGCAAGTTGGTATTGTAATGTTAGGTATCGAGTAAGTAATAGTAATCTTTGTTCAATAGTAAGGTATGTTGTATTATGTAAAGAGATGGCACTTGTGATTGCAAGAGGGACACTTTAAACCTTTCATTTCTTTCCTTCTTCACGCTGAACAATTCGAAATAACGTAAACAGAAATACATATCAATAGGAATGCTATTCGCGGGACGGTGGGGGAATGTGGTCAAGAACAAGAAAATTAAAGAAAAAAAAAACAAATTTTGCTGTTTTCGAGAAAAAAAATATCTGTGATTTTAATTTTTAAAAGGATTTTCTAAATTAAGATTCTAGTGGAGACTGATACGCATAGATTAGTTTTAGCAGCGCTAGCTTCTCTGACGTTTTAATATTGTTTTTTGAAATGTACATACATAACGGGTCATTCAACCTATTTTATATAGCATCGATGTATATAATGTATATTTTTGTATACCGTCACTGTGGCAAGCTCTGTTGTGACAGCCTATACCGTCTGTCGACTCGTCCGGGCAATGTTTGGTTCGAGAAAAAACAAAAATGGTTTTATTTGCGGGGCAAGTATTCCTAGGTTACAGTGTGTTTTAAGGCATCGCGTATAAAACAAACTCAGTAATGTAAAACTCGGAAGGTTCTTTATAATTTTGAATCAGTACGTTAATTATTAAAGTGGGTGTCTGATCGTGTGGTGATGCTTAAAAATGGTTGCACTGTTGGCTTTGTATGATCGAAACAGATCAAGCAGTAGACAATAACTTGTTGATCCTGGCACACACGTCCGCCGATACTCGGAATAAAACATAGTGTAGGCTAGGATTCCTTACATCGTTTTTAATAATGAACCAGAGATTTTTAATTTAGTGAAAACCTTACGTCAAATGCGACAGCTGACGGTTCATTAGCCACAGCTTGACACGGATAACGACACCCTCAATAGTTCAGGCAGTCAAGAACACGGTATTGTCAAATTTAATTGCTTCGTGTCCGGTATCTGTCAAAAATATTACATATATATTTTTTTAAAGATTTCCGTTGTGAATTCGCGTGATCGCGGTGACGAGATCAAATCGTACTGCGTAAAGATATGCACCTTTCGTCAATTGATTGAAACCCACGTCAGTTACTTAGTTATAGAGTTGATATAAACACGCCGATTTGAAACTAAATAAAAAAACACTAATGTGAAATATTCGAACTGTCCCTAAATTAATTTAAAAAAAAAAAACGGAGTATTCGCTCTGTTTGTTAGGAAAGAAAAAAATGCTTTACCTATAATTATATTCTTGTAAATTGTATACTTATGTAAAAAAAAAAAACGTTCATGTAAAAATAATTTTAGTAATGTTAAAAAATCGCTGAGACATGCTACATTGTATTATTCGCGTGTGCTGTTCTATATAAAAAAAAATGTACATTACATGAGTATTATTGAGAGGTAAATAAATAAATAAAAAAGTGTGCCTAATTAAAACGAAAAACAAAAAAAACGGACCTCTCACAAATACTCATCTAATAAATAGTGAAGCTCAAAAATATATACTTATTGATAAGGACGTAGCGAATAGAATAGAAACTGATTGTATTCTTGTAAGGTTATGTAAGTTCTTCATGCATTTTATGTGACTTAATAACGAGAATTGATAAATTAACTTTTAGCGTATTTCTGTAACACGAGGCGTTATTTCAAAAGATGGATAGATTGCGCGCGAATACAAAAAATTGTGTTCTTAGGGTTCACTATGTTGTAACTATACTGAGATCTTAGAACTTATATCTCAAGGTGGGTGGCGCATTTACGTTATAGATGTCTATGGGGTCCAGTAACCGCTTAACACCAGGTGGGCTGTGAGTTCGTCCACCCATCTAAGCAATAAAAAAAACACGTCATCGTCCTGCACGTTTTCTTTGTATTCGTTATTTTAACGTACAATATTGGGGTGTTCATACGTTAGATTTTCGTTCGTGTAAAAACGAACGTGTCAGCGAGACAGAGCTATATTATACGCCACTGCAACATTGAAGGATTCGTCGCGCTCTTTACGTGTCACACAAATTGACTAGATGAGCCCAACGCTCCTTGACGCAACGCTTTCGCCAAATCATAGTGCATTTCTATAGCAGTCTGAAAAATTAAAAATATTAAGATGTCGAGTGATTCACATGTGGCATTGTATAACCATAGGTATTTTCTAACTAATTTTATCAATTTTTCAGTATTTCCAGTATTTTAATACACATTTACTCGGACGCTAAAATAAAAATTGTAAAAAATTACAACGCCTGACGTCAAAGCGTTCTAACGCCGCGACAGAGCGCTGAGTACTTATAGCGCTGGGGCTCTGTTTGACGGTATGTTACCATAGTACGTACGTACGTCATAGCGCGCCGTCAGTTTAGCGCTCTGACGCGCGCTAATTACGCGTTCTGTTTGACGAAGGCTTAAAGTTCTTTCGATTTGCTTGACAAGACCGTTGAGTATTCGTTTAAACGTATAAGCGGTATACGACATTTTGCAGTGCAAACGACATGTGAACGCTTCTGTGTACAATGTACTATGTGCCACTATTCATTCGTTAAGACGTATACTGCAAATACACGTGCAAGATAATGCCGTGTGAACCCAACCTTATAATACTTTTGGTATTCATAATCGCTTAACATCGAATTGACCATGAGCCTTGTGATGCTAACTTTGCGGAACCACATCAATAAAACCCGCGATCAACACGTTCACGACCCAATTAAATACGCAGGTCGCCCGTCAGCATTAGCTATTAAACAAAACCTTGTCAGTTAAAAATTAAAATTCCATTAAAACTTGCATTAATTCTCGTTATTACGTTAAAGTTATATTCTTCGTGCATTATTTTGCTTATGGACATGGAATTTGATGGTAATCGTGTACTTAATACCAAATGGATCACCTAATAAATAGATTCTCGAGTTGTTCATGTATTCTTTTAGCAGAACTGATGTTTTTAATAATCAAATCGAATAATAGAAAAATCCTACCAATTTGAGTGAAATTTATTGAGATCCTTGTATTTTATGACAAATGTTATGTCAAAACCCTTCGAATGGCACCTTAGGAAATACGAGGTAAGAAGGTTTAAGGGCACTGTTTGAAATATCCCTGAGCACATACTTGGGTGGGATTGTGACATTATTGATTATCAAATTTGGTAAAAAGTATTTAAATTCATGTGCACTTTACCTTATACTTAAAATCGTAATTTAACAGTAACATTGTGTTAATTATTTGAAAAAAAAAACAATGAGCCATTTCTGAATCTGTTTAAATATTCAAATCCATCAGAATATGTCGGAGAAATTCATCTCAATCACATTCCGTTCAGTTGAATTGTCTCAAGGGCGAAGAACAATCACACTGTGTCCATAAACTCCAGTCCCCATGAAAACCAACAGAAAACCATCAAAATTCATGATCTTCCATCTCTATGCAATATTTTCTAAACTATCATTTGATTTTGTCTCTTTTGGAAGATTTTCCTTCACAACTTTACTTTCTATGCAACTTCTATTCCCTTTTTATTTGTCTTAATAAAAACACCGGATCAACGATATGAAAAGCAATATTATGATAGAGACACGACCGCTCAAATTAGTTTTAAAATGTTTTTTCAATGATAAAATTTATCACACAAGTGCTACTTAATATAGACTTGTATTATTGCAGTATCTAAAAGTTTTTTACACATAATAAACCGCCGGAAAATGCTTATTTCGTAACAAATTATCAGATAGACACTACAAATAGATCACACGCCGATCGATGATCAATTTGAAGAGTAATACGTTAATTTTCGCATCAAGCACCATTGATGGACGATGACTAGTGAAGAAATTTTATTATTGAAAACGAAAATCATCCCGAACGCGTTTCGGTAAATCAACATCGAATTTAAATGTTGTATAAAATAGTTTAAAGCTTAATGTTGTTGTCCTCCATTAAGATTTGGAATTATCAGGGTTGATACGATTCTTTTAGATGTACGAAATAAATAAAAAAAAATTGATTCTACTACGCCTTTCTCGTGTATTGCCATTCTTTGCTAGCCTTACTTCCCTCTCAGCCTTCTATCCTACTAAAGGTATATTTATAATATAATATGTACATAAGTTATTAAAAAAAAATGTTTATATAAACGAGAAATTGTCAAAGCTACACTGTGAGAAAAAATTAGAGGGTATTTAATAATGATTAAGACGTCTTATATAAAAATATCAGAGACGCCATAGTTCTTGTAGTATACTATATATTTATAATATAATATGATACGATGTTATATACTATTCTAACTATATATGCGTGCATGAATGCTTGAGAACTTGCTTCGATAAAATATTAGGATTTTTCTTTAACTATAAAGAACAGTACAATAAGGCTATTTATATATGATGTAATGTGATTCAAACGATTATAATTAGTGATTAACAGAACTGAAAATGGTTGATAATATTCTCGTTATGTTGTTTGAAAAAAAAAAAAAAAAAAGAAACTGTATCATATGTATTTATTACGCGGCAATGTAACGCGAATTAACGCGTTTTGTCATTTTACATTGCATTGCGCTACACTAAGCTGTCTCCAGCGAAGCACCCGTATGACAATCGTTAATTCTCGTCATTGACCCACGAAAATAAAGATGGAGTTTAAAATTTTTATCTATTTATTGTTGTTTTAATTCTAAGAAGTGCGTATTACCTATAAGGTTTCCGTTTTTTTAAAACTGTCAAACAACGAATATTATGTAAAGATAGAATGCTACTTCACTAACATAAGTTTTAATTAACAATTGTAATGATAACGTATAAATAATTGGTGTCTATGTTAAACCCGTGATTGGTCACAATGATACAGCGGTTGATGCGTGTTAAAATAATAAAAAAATATATAAAAATAATTACTCAACTTTATATAACAGTAGTTTTGTCTATCGATACGTATAATTATAAAATTAATTAATAAATAATGAATAAATAAATGAAAATCGCACAATTCGAGTCGAAAATCTAATTTAAGAGTAACAATAATAGTTATTAATGGTAATTGTTAAGGGAAAGAGGTCAAACTCCTCTTGTTTACGTTTTGAAACATTAATACGGGATATAAAGAATTTTATCTTTGCTTGACATTACGAGCGGGTTATCCGTGTATAGACATAATAAGTAAGCCGACTTGGTATAGTCAACTTATTTACTCTCAGCTCGTGTGTACGATCGTAAATGATAGAACCACATTTTCATTGTATTCGTCAAGTAAATTAAAATGGTAAACTAAATAAATACAGCAACTTCCGTCATATTGATATGAATATGCCACGAAAGTTTACGATATTCTCCTGTAGTTCTCTCGTGAGTAGGTGCATGGTCACGGCTTTAGAAACACTTCTTGTCCGTACAACAATAACTTTGTTATAGCCAATTTGTTTTCGATTATTTCACTTCTGATCGTAACTTGGGATAAAAACAAAACGGTCCATTATGTTACTGAAATCGTAATTAATATGTGTATTGTATTAAAAAAAGAAAAATGTCCTTTAAAATATACCAAATCTACCATTGAACGTTAGTGAAATTTAGGAAGTGTTTCCCCGCAATTTCCGTTTTCGCCTATCCCGTGTACATATTTCTTGTCGAGGCCACATTTAGGTGTTCGGAATAAACAGGCTTCCAATTCTAGTCTATGGAACTATTGGACGATCACCGTTTTCGACCAGTCCTCCTATCCCCTCTACGATGATGGCCACAAATAATTGATACCTGATATTTTTTTATTTTGTATTTTTTTTTTTTATTCAATTTATACCAAAAACTCGTACGATGCTTTTAGATACCGTTACCGATGGATCTCTTTTTTTTCTAATTAGCGTAAAGCTGTTACTTATTTTTGGCTGACCAAATGAACGTGAATACATTAGCATCCAAACAATTGGGATTTGAAGTGTGTAAATATTAGTAATACGTTTTTTGTGTAACGTTCAAAGATTGTGGACCCCTGTTGGGTTTATTTTATTACAATCAATTTGTCCAGCGTTAGTGTAAGGATCTTTATTTTTTAAAATCAATGTAATATTTAGGTTTTAAAATGTGGATTTTGTGGTGTTTTTATTTCGATCGTGGTCGTTCCGATTTCTCGATTGGATTTCTTTTGTAAATTATTGTCTTATATATTGTTTAAGATACATAACTATAATTGCATATAATGTACGTAGTGTTTTTAATTGTTAACTATGAATTAACGACGTAGTTACTGTGTTTTAAGCGAACGTGTACATTTTTAACGTACTTGTTTCAATAATGAATATATATATATTATTATATGGTAAAAATAAATCATCCAGTTTTTTAAAAATACATCAGATTTTTATTTTAATCT